AAAAGAAATTTTTTTAAAGATTGTGGCAATATTTTGTCTTACAAGAAGATCTTATTAATATATTATGTTATTGATTCTCAGAATCAAATAGTACATCAAAGTATGCTGTATGTTATTTAAAAAAACAATTTTGTAATTTTAACCATATTTCGTCTAGTAGAAGGTCGTATCAATACATTATCTTTATGCTTCTCATAATAAAATAGTACATTCAAATATACAAAACATTAATTCAAGAAAAAATAATTTATTTTCACTCCAGCAATCACTTGTTTTACAATAAGATCTTACTAATAGATTATATTGATACTTGTGACAACATAATAGTAGCTTAAACTATTCTCTATATTAATTGAAAAACAAGTATTCTCAGCTCAACAAAACGGTTTCTTACATGAAAACTTTATTTAAAAAAAAATTGTTAAATACACTTTATGATAAAATGGTACGCTAGAAATTTTTAATATTTACTTAAAAAAGAAATATTCATATTTTTAGATTACCAATAATTTATTTTGCATCATACGCGCCGTTTTTATTGTATTCTATTTATCCAATTACTGAATCTCATTTTGATTCTCTTTGCATCTAATTATTGGTTGTAATTGTAATTTTACTCTCATCTAAAACTTCTGCATTTTTTCTCATACTCTTATCTGTTTCGGTATTATATCTATCAAATATAAAAAAAGGTAAAAAATCTATTTCAAAATTGTTTATATCATTTGAACACTTATTTATTTTCTTTCAGATTGTTCACAATTACACAATTAATGACTACAACATTCATATCAAAAGAATCGATTATTGGTTACATTACTAACATATCTAATGAAAATAAAAAGAAAAAATTTTATGTAAAATTCGCAATGCAAACCGAAAATAATGGTGAAGTTGATGGCTGGATATTCAGTGACATAAGTGGAATTTTAACAACACCACTTGGAAGTGCTTTAACAAACTCAATGAAAAATCATACAGGTCTACGTTTATGGGGTAAAATTGAACAAAATAATGGTAGGTTGAGTTTACTTCTGAATGTGAAATTTTAAATATTTAAAAAAATCATGATGATAATTCATTTCAGGATTGACAATATTCAAAAGTCAAGCATGGTCTAATTTTCAGAAAGTTAATCCTGGTTTTTTATTTCAAAATCCAAAAAATGATCTTTTATCGATTCGAGACGCACTTATGTCTGCTGAACCTTGTTCTATAAGAGTTTATATTATCGATATTCGACCAGCTGAAAATTTTGATCGAAGTGGTGTTATTCATACAAATACGTTCGTTTTGATTGGTGATGTAAGTGGTACAGGTTATTTGGTGGTAATCGATTTAGCTGCAGATACATTTTTAATCGAGAATAGTTATGATTTAACTCAAGTGCGTCGGAAGATGTTTAATGGTGTACATATTCTCAGTACAACAATCAACACGCACATCTCATTAGCGATTATGGTAAATAAACTTATATAAATTGTTGATGCTAATTTTTTCATTTTCTTAAGCAGTAAATCTATTTTTAAATAGATTAAAAAAAAAATTACTTATATTTATTTAATAAAAAATAACTATTCTATTTTTTACATTTTTTAGCCTGTTACTGCTAATATTAGTGAAGTAACAACAACACTTGCTTTTGATTTAACAGATAAAAAAAATGTTATCTCAACAGTTGAAGAAATTGGAACTATTAATCGATCAAGTGGGTGTTCAACTTGTAAAGGTGTTTTAACAGATGTAAACGGTGCTGCTGCATTAGTTTTTTGCCGTAATTGTCAACGACATAGCTTAAAAAAAAATATCAATTATGATATTTCAACTACACTTGCAATCAAAAATGGTTAGGTACAAAGTCGACTTCTGCTAAGTCGACAAAAAAAAAAAAGATGTTATATAAACATAAGAAACAAATTTTAATATTGGATTATTTTAACACGATCTTATTTAGGTGAAGAAAAAATTGTTCTTCGGGCTTCAGGACAAACAGTCGAACAACTTCTTAATTGTGTTGGTCTTACAATAACAGCTGATGATACAGAAATTGCCATGGCATTATTAGCAAATGTTAACCTACGTTTCGAATATAGTGAACTAGGTAAAAAGATTATAAATATTTCAAAGCCATAGGAAAAACTTTAAAATATTTTTATTTGACGATTTAATTCTTCTACATTTTTTGTAAGTTAATATTTGAAAAGAAAACTAATATATCAAGAAGTATTTTTTATTCCAGATTAAATGAGATCGATTCATTATTCTGTCAAGAACAAAACTAAATTTTTTTTGCCAATGTTGTTTATTCATTTTTCATTTATTTGACATCTTCAGTAATAATAAATAAACATTTGTGCGATTAATCAAGAATGAAAATAAATTGAATTGAAAAATTTGATTATAAAATCATAGATTTTATTCATTTTCAGATAGTTTTTCAAATTAACTATCATAGTTAATTAAATATATTTTATGATTTTGATGGAAACACTATCGAAACAAATCAATGATATGGATCCGGCCATTATCGGTAAAATTATTCTCATGTTCTTTTTTATCGAAACTGAAATTAACGTACTATTATAGGACAATGTGATTGTTCTATTGTAGAACAAAATATTCAAGGTACAATTGTAATGGTAAATCGTCGAAAACACTATGCATTTATTAAAAGGTTTGTTTCTTCTATTAATCCTCATTTAAATTTCTTGCTATAGAATGGATCACGTCCAACAACGAGACGTTTTTGCACGAGATTCGTCTATTATTAGTAAAACACAAATTCCAAACTTTTTAATATCTGACAAATGCACATTTGATATGAAAAAAAGTAATAAAAAATTTTATATTTCTTTTATAATATAATTTTTGTAAATTTTTTAAGCCGATCGTGGTTTTGAAGCTGTGAACATCAATGTTGAATCAAGAACAATTAATGGTATTGAAAAACTCAAACGAATACCAAAAAAGAGACCTCAACAACTAAAACCAACAGATGCTACACTTCTGTTTCAAACAACAATGTAAAACTTATAGAATGTGATTATCATAAATATTATTTCTTAATATTTTTAGAATTCAATTATTCCACGCAGCGACAAAATCCATCAAATAAATAAAATTTGTTGTTCTTAATAAAAAAAACTTTAGTATTATTTCTCTTTCCATTATTAATTAAACAAATAAATTCATAAATCTATATGTCAAGATTTAGATACTTGTTTTAAATAAATTATAACAAAATGAGAAAACATTTTTTCGTTTTGATATACATCAGTAATTGCTAAATATCACCTTCATCAAGTATTTAAAAACAAAGAATTTTTTAAACAATGAGTGATATAGAGTACTAAACATTTCCTATAAAATATTGTATCTTAACATCTTATAGTGGAATAAAAAAAAAAATTATAGTTAATGATTTTCCAAAGAGAGTCAAAAAAAATAAAGAGTTTATTTTACTTTACTCTAAGTGTTTTTCAATCAATGTATAAAAATATATTTATCAAAAAATGTACATGATAATCTTTGCGATCATTTATTCGAATTAAGTTTAATAATAAACTTAGAAGATAATGCAGAAGAACAAAAAAAAAGACCTGCGATTATTTCGAGACAGTACAACAGTTTACATGACCTTTCCCTAAAACAAGTGAAATTTTTTTAACTTGTAGGACTTGAACCTCTAAGTATAAGTGAAAATTTTAAAAAAATTTGAAAACTTTCGAAAATAGTCCATATGGTGGAAGGAACAAAGCGGATTCTGCGAATTTCAATAAAAATTATTTAAATATATTAAATAAAATCGATTTTTATATTAAAGAATTTTAACAAGTATTTTAAACTAAAGTATGTTTTATATAGTAACATAAAAGTTTTAACTTTAAATAAAATTAAAAAAAAAAAACTTTTGTGAAATCTTAATTTGATAAGAAGTGAGAAACAAATTAATTGAAAAAAAAAGTACATGTGATACTTAATCGTTAACTGAGATAAAATAATGCCGATTAAAATGACATTTACATATAATCAATATAAATAAAAACGTTGTTATAATATATGTTTATCTTTAACTAAATAATCGAACCTCGCTAATTTAGCATAATCATGAATAAAACAAGAGAAATAAGCAAATGAAATGCAGCAATAAGATCATTTATAGTTGATGAATAAACTGTTCTGGTTAATATGTTATTGCCGAAATAAATGAATATAAATCTTGATGTGAACATTTATCTAATTTATTTTTATTTTCAATTTAGGATTTATTTCATTTGATGTTCCTTTATATTAATAATCGAAATAAATTGATTTATATTGATTTCCACCAAATATATCAATAAATATTTTTGTATATTTTTCAAGTATATTTGATGATATATTAAATGCATTTTCAACTTAATCAAATTTCGATCGAATTGAATCAAGTAAATTGATCATATCTTCCTATTTATCTAATTTATCAAAAAAAAAAAAAATCCTAAATAATTAGCACTTTTTTATAAATGTGATATTCACATTGGATTATTATCATTTGTTGTTATGAAGATATCGTCTACATGATACACATAATGACACAGCTAACCAATGTAATTGATCTCGTTCTAACACATGTTTACGAATATATTCATATGAATGCCATGCATCTAACTTTGTTTCCATATCCATATTTAAATCAACACATAATTTTGAATATGACATTTCAATTGATTCATCGTCATTATTTGACATTTTGCTTTCTTTTTATTCTAAAATAACAAAAAACAATGATTGACATTAATTTAAATCAAAAAAACTTACATTAATAAATCAGGTCAATGAAAATCTATTGAAAAATACACTTGAAATTGTTTTTATTTGTAATTCCTTTTTCAATAACATACATGCCTGTGTTTGTTCATTGACATATTATTCTAACGACAATTCAATCATTTTTATATTGGTATATATTTAGATTTATTTTTTCTCTTTCGTTCGTGTTTTTTCGCAAATCGATTCAATCGACGAATAAATAAGTACTTTTGTTTGACTTAGTTCATTGAAGTCATCATCTACAAGAAAAAACACAAGAAAATCATCAATAATGTTCATTCTTTTTTTTTTTATTCACTTGATAATATTAGTCAAACCAACAAACATTACGTTGATAGATAGACAGACACTAAATAGAAACCTCTAATATTGAACATATTATTTTAATTAACAAATCGAAAACAAAATAACCACGATATACATATATATATACTATCATGATTTATATTCGTTGCTCTTTCTTTTTAACGAGACATTCTTTTTATTTTAAAAGTTAAACGTTCATTTATTCATGTTTGACAATATTTGTTATTTGATATTGTTCTAATTGAAATAGAAAATGCTTCCATAATATTCTTAAATATTTAAAAAAAAAAAAGAAAGATAAAGTATTCACCAAAATTTAATATCGTTTTTCGTTTAATTAATAAATAAAGAGAGTATTATTCAATTAAGTCCACGTGTTGTTTCAATTAAATTTAGAAAAAAAAATAAATAATGATGACGAATAGTTACTGAATCATTTAATATATAATAAATGAAACTATTTGTAACAAAGAAAACTAAAGGAAGATTTCTATTGGTTCGTTTTGAATGATCTTCTTAAAACAGAATCAATTTTTTTTCTTTCATACAGATTTTCTCTTAGAATTTTTTCGAAATTAAAAATAATATTTCAATGAAAATATTAAATATATGTTCGAATACAGATATATTACTTTTGATTTAAATTGATGACTAGTGAGATTGTTTTAATATTATTTTATATATATAGGATGAAGATATTTTTAAATAATTTTATATAATTATTATTTATTTATTATTTTAATAAATGATTCTTACTTTCAAAAACTATCATTTTTCATTTATATATCAGAAAATCGAATTATTTTTTCGTATAATTCGATTGCCAGTTCTATATTTATCAAAAAAACATAATTCAACCATAGTCAATATTGTCATCTTAAAATGCAAAAAAATCTTTATTATAATAATAATTATTTCGAATTAAATTTGTTGGGATAAATTTCATAATATATATCTATGATCTACTTCTCATTTGCAAATACGAATTCAATTAAAGTTTAACTATAATAGATAATTTTCAAACATTTATTTTATTATACAAATGACAAATCTTAGCAAGTTTTCATACAAAAAAATTCTAGTTTTCAAAAAGTATTTTCGAATGTTTGATTAATCAAACCACATAGAGATAAGAAACATTTTCAAAAATATTTTAATAAAATTTATGAATTCTTTTATAAAAAACAACTTGCTGTATAGAATAGGTCAAGTTTTTAAGTAAACAAAAGTAAATCATCAAGAGTGAATTTTAAAAAAATGCAGAAAACTATATTTTATTATTATAAACGAAAAATATGAGAATTATTTTAATGTTTTATAAGAATTCCTAAATGTTTATATCATATTAGATAACATTGAGATTTATAATTGAAATTTGAAATTAACAAAACTCCTTAAAAAAAAAAAAAAAAAAAAAAACGTCTTTTTATCATAATAATATTTAAAAAGTTTTCAAATAGATAATTATATATAATCGAAAAATATTGACGAAATAAATTGATTTTCAATTCTTGATTTATGTTATATTGATAATGACCTATAAAGACTGATTGGTTTAACAATTTAAATTAAAGTTAGAGAAAGATTTGTGACTATATTATTATTATAATCGATCTGAATTACTTAATAAAATAATCGATTTGAAATCTTCTGTCCAGAATTTAAATCTATCTATAGAAATAGTAGTTACCTTTAAGTAAAATCGAACAGATTATCTTTATTTAGATTGATATAAATAAGTTTTTTTTTTTTTTATTTTGAACAATAAGAACTAAAATAGCTATTTTACTTTTATTATTTCAATTATCTCTTCAATAAAATATCAACGGAGATTTGTTTTTAGCATTTTTTTTTTTTTTTATATATTCCTATAAGATTTAATAATTAAATGGAAAAGATTGTTAAATAAATTCAAATGTATATCTACATAAAATAAAACATTTTATTCAAAAATGATCAATGTATTTATTTATTCATTTATTTCTATAACAATCCACTGATTTCAATGAGAAATTCTTTCAAATTTTTTTTTTCTTGTTTCGTCTTCGTTCTTTAATGCTTCGAAAACAATCAAAATATTTTTTCTCAATAAAATTGTTCAGTTTGTAATTATTTTTCATCAATGTTAAATTATATGGTTTTCTTTGTCAAATATTCATTTAGCTATTTATTTAATTGATTCATATCGAACTTTTTTTTATTAATCAATAACAATATTATCGAATCTTATAAAAATCGATCAACACATTTTTATTGTGTGAATTAAATATATATTTATTATTGTAAATGACTGAATCCATGGATATCCAGCCACTTTCTTTTTCAAATAGTGGTTGGATATCCATGGATTCATGGATAAATATTTTTCATATGCATGGCAACAAACCTTGATAGAGTTGTCCTACTAACGAATTTAACTAATGCTACTTTTTCCTTTCGTTCTGCTTTTCACAATCTCATTCATTTCAATTCACTATTTATTACTAAATTAGCTAATGTAGTCATTAAATGTTGTTAGTTGATAAAAAGACAGTTCTTTCAATGTTGATTTCTCATTTGTCGATTTGAATCTAATTAATGAATAAAACATGCTCATTCATAGTTCACATTATAACATTACTCAGCAACAACTAAAATGAAAACAAAAGTTTGTACTGGAGAAAATCGACCAGCAAATCGCTTATTGCATTTAACTAACAAAGAAAAAAAAAATTCACAACGTAATAGCTGGTTAAATTATATTCCGCTAACTACACTAAATCATTTATCTTCATTTCTTACTGGTTTCGATGCACTAGCATTTGCTCAATGTGTATCAAGTGCAACAATGTCATCTGAAAGACATTTTTGGCAGTTTCTAGGACAGTAAGTTATCGTACATTAAAATTTAATTCTAACATATGCCTAAA